GGCCTGAAAACCTTGTCCAAAGCTCCTGTGCACCGGCGCAGTCACATAGACATATGTACAGCTAATAGGACCACTAGCTGCAACTAAGTAACTAACTAAGCTAAGTAGCTATGTTATCAGGCCTTTATCACCCAACATAAGATGTTGGACATGGTTCCAACATGTTGCAGAAAGTATTCCCAGAAAAGTGGAGACTGTTATAGCAACATATTAATGCATAAAGTTTCTACTCCCATTTCCCACATTTTGGTGGACTTTTCCTTTTTTTTAAATTGAGGGTCTGTGGAAAAAGAGTGTGAGGCCAGCAATCTCATATGGATGTGGTGTTCACATATTATTGGCTATATAGTGTATCTTTATCTCACTTTTTCTCCCCTTTTCAGTGGCTACTAGTATTAATACAGCACACACAGTCACAATCTAGGCTTCTCTTACTTTGTCTCTTCATTTTTAAAACTGGAGTTAAATGGAATTTCAGTTACGTGATGTAAAATTTTACCTGTCCCAGGATGAAAAATCAGGGGGGCGAGAATGCTCAACTTTACTGAAAAAATAACCCACATACAAGAAATAATGAATTCTGACACCCACATTTCATTTATCTACAATTGCGACCCTAAAAAGGCGTGTATTTTAATCGTTTGCAAATATGAACTTTATGCAGAGATGCTTCTCTTCTGACACTACAACTAAATATCAGATGATTCATTATCTTGTTAACAAAGTCTTGTCAGACCTTTACTGTCCCAAATGACACCCACATTTTGTCTGATTCATACACTTCTACACATTTCGATCTCACGCCGCATTTAATAGCTTGGATTTTGAAGAATGTGAAAAACTTTGGCATTTAATTACCAGCCGGCACCGAGATCCTGGGACTTTACAACCATGCACTGTTTTACCATGCAGTCACATTTCAGGTGAAATAAAAGTGTACTGTTTCACATGAACATATCTCAACTGGGCAATTTGTGGCCCTGTGCAAAGTTCTCTACAGCATGAAATGAAACATAAAGAAAACTGAAGAAACTTATAGAAAGTAAATTTGAAGGAGATCTGTGTGTCAAAAAACACTCCAACACTCAGTTTTAACAGAACTCAAGGCCAGCTTTCTCGCCTGTTGACCCTGATACACCCAAGCACACACTGTGTCTGCACACAAGGTCTTCAGCACTGTGTGTATGTGTGAGTGGGGGTTATGGACAGAGTCAGCAACACGTTTTTTTAGGATCAGGACAGATCCTTTGAACATGCTGTGTTTACACCAGTTCAAATGCCAGCGTGCTGTGATTCACTTTGACACAGCAGGGTAGTGAGAGAATGTAAGGGAGGGGATCTGGGAGTGGAGATGTGTATGTGTGTGTATGTTGTTGTTACATACATTTATGCATTTTTTTCCTGCTTCAATTAGCCTACACACAGACACACACACAGACACACACACACACACACACACACACACACACACACACACACACCCCACAGCCTCCCTGAAGATGGAGTCTGCTTGGTGAGCTGGCTGCCTCCCCCAGTTATCCTGGGGCCAAGAACAGTGTGAATACATTATATGCACAAACCAAACACACACACGCGACCTTATCTTTCCCACAGCCCCCCCGTGGGGGGCAACTAATGCCTGACTGGTGAGCTGTCTGCCTCCTCAAATTACTACACAACAACAGCCAAGAAAACAGTGTGTTTCCAGACGCGCAATTTAGGCCCCGCACTGCGCTCACAGCTTGGAGTTGCAGATGACCTTCCATGGAGCAGGTTTTGGTGAGTCTGTGTTCACTTGGGAACAGATGATGTGCATCATAGTGGACCTGGCTTTGACCTATGTCATGAAGGGAGGACTCAGTAGTGAGTAAACCCAGCCCACCCCTGTCCCGGTTTATTTCACATGCAGAAGACCTCCATGTCCTGTCCCACGTCCCGCCCACATCTTCTCCAGAAAACAATTTGCACTGGAGCCAACGTATAATGAGATCGAAACTGCGACTTATTCAATCACATAGTGTCCTTCATCGTCAGTGTCTTCATCGTCAGTTTCTTCATCTTCAGTGTCAGCGCAAAGAGTCTACAGCATGGCCATGTTACTGCTGCCCATTACAGCATTTACAGTGAGGCCATCTTACATTTCATTCAGTAAATATAGAAAGAAAAGGAGTATTTGTTGGTGACATCTGTAACTGGACGTACAGTATGTGGTGTCCTATTGAAATGTGTCAGTGGTATGTCATCTCTCCTCCTGAGTCCATATGCTGCGTTAGATCATTTCGCTCCACCGCTGGGTTTCCCTTTCATGTTCATCTGTTGTTCTGAATTGTAGGTGGCTCTCGGCTCCTTTCCAAACTGGCCTACACTAAATGAGGCAGATGATTTCTTGGCTTTAATGCCAAATGAATTTTCCCACCTCTTGTACTCCTCCTCCTCCTCCTCCTCCTCCAGCCCCCTTGTGAGAGTCCATGTGAGAGTCCATGTGCCACGGCGGAGCCACACAAACATAAACACCCTTTCCCAGAAACTGTTATTGTCACCAAATCTCCTACCTCCGGTCTTTATTATTAACAGTCCTCACACACTGCTTTTGTCAAATTAAATTGTTAAATTATTTTAAGAAGAGTTGCTTTATCAAACTGGGAAAGTATATTTTGGTCATGTTCAGAAAAGGAACTGAAACATTTACTGAGATACCAAAGATGGTGCCATTAATTACCTCATACTGAGTAATAATCAGTATAACAATGACACTGTTCAGTCAATAAAGCGTTATTTTTTTTGGTAACTCCACAGTGAAGTCAAACCCACCCTGCCACTGCCTTTCTTGTCGTTTCCTCCGGTGACTGTCACCCCTCCTCCTGAGCTGACGTAGTGAGGATCCTCCGCTGCCCACGGGTGTGGGCGACGAACCGGCTGAGAGTATAAACGGCTTCCCGGGACTCCAGTCCGTCACTGCTTGAAGCGGCAGCAACTCGGTCACCAGAGCTGAACCTCAGCAGAGATAGCAGCAAGCAGGCACTTCCTCGCCACGCAGGCTAACTCGCTTTCGGCTTTGGTTCGAGATGGAGACTCGTAGGTCCATGAAGGGCTCCAGCGCCCACAACCTCAAGAGTGAGTACCTCTCCACTTTGCAGTTTGATGGTGTTTGATTTTGCAAATGCATTTCTGTGATTTAATTGCAGCTTTCCACTTGCTAGTGTGCACTTCTTAGGATTCAAACAAGTGGTTTGAGGATTAATTTTAAACTTTAAAATCACAGTAATATTTCCACTGTCAGCAGCCTTGTATGTCTGTAGAAAACGGCTGAGTTTATATACTTTATTATGCTTTTACGCACTGTCATGTTGCATCTATTCTTAATTATTTACCAAAACGTGGGTTACACACTGTTCAGAATCCATTTAATTGTGTGTTTGTCAATTATGGATGTTAGAAAGTGAGCGTTAGAGAGTGCGCACTTTTTTGGCATTTTTACGCAAAGATTTGGCAGCAAAAGCTCGAGAAGAAAAAGTGTGCATTTATGTGATATTATATCATATTTATATGAAAAGTCATTTACAACGGTGACCAGAGTTAGTTCACATGTTTTGGCTCTCTTGTTTATCCAATCTCTCCATATCTCCTTTACGCACGGAGAGATGCAGATACTGTTTATGCGCGCATGTTTCTGAACTTTATTCCTCGTCTCATGGTGACTTTGGGGTAAATAAGACTTAGAAGATTCTAGAAAGGTGTCTTATTCCGCTCAAAAGCTCCAGTTCTCTCTCAGCGTCCAGAGCAGCTAATAGTCCAACTTGTTAAGGGGTCAAGAGGTGAGCCGCTGGAAAATCTTGCGCACAGCAGATGAATGGGAAGTTCATTATTATTTCATCCATGTACTTTTCCCGCGGTGGCCACTTTTGTGTGCCGTTATCCGAGCTGTGCCAAGAAGCTGTTGCAATATTGATAAGAACCGAAACTGATCCGGCTCAGGTTGCCGGTTTTACCGTGCCCTCTGCATACCTCTCAACGGAAACAACCTTTTGATAGCCTGAGAACTAGGAAACCAGGTTAACTTAATGCAAAGGCACGTGAGATTCACGTTTTTCTGTTTCTTAAAGTACTTTATGATTTTTATGTTCTTAACTGCTGAAATCCAGAGTTATGTAACATTGTCACAACAGCCATGAAGACCTATGTAAAGTGATCTGGTGGATATGAATGGGTGAATGATTTCTGTAATGTAATCTGGTGAATTATATATGAACCCCAAAGTTCTGGGAACCATCAACAAGTCACGGGTGAGAGGACAACAGTGTTAAAAGGAATCACTGACAACAGCAACAGGTTTGACAGACAGACAGCAAAGAAAGACTGGTGCCAAAAGCTGAAACCGACCTCTTTCTTTGTCTGTCTCTCTGTCTTTTTGCTGCTAACCTGAACTTCAATTTTGTTACTTTTCTTCTCATGAGAATTAACGTCTTCTCTTTCTCTCTCTGTCTGTCTCCAGGTGGATTGTGCCTATGGCTGATTCTGTGGCTGGTGGTGGTGAAGCCGGGCGGGGTTGGAGCATGCCCTAGACTGTGTGTGTGTTACCCTACGCCCATGACGGTCAGCTGCCAGTCCCAGAACCTCACCATAGTGCCGGCTGGCGTTCCCTATGACTCACAACGTGTTTTCCTGCAGAACAACCGCATCACAGAGCTTCGTGCTGACTCTTTTGGCTTCGAGACACAGGTAAAAATGGCAGTGTGTGTTTTTGCATCTGTTGAATTCCCCAGCAATATTTTCAGACATTTTTAATAGTCTTTTATTTCTCCTCTCTCATCCCATTTATTTTCTCTTTGTTCTGTGCAGGTGCTTTGGTTATACGGCAACAACATCACATGGATTGAGGCCGGAGCCTTCAGTAATCTCAGGGTGCTGGAGGAGCTCGATCTGGGCGATAACCCGCTGCATCGTCTGGAAGGTGGAGCCTTCAGGGGTTTGGAGAGGCTGCAGAGCCTGCACATGCATCGCTGCAAGCTGGCCACTCTCCCCCATGACCTCTTCCACAAACTGTACAGCCTGCAGTTCCTCTACCTGCAGGTAAATCCAGCATACACACACACAAACCTAAAAACACACACATGCAAAGGTTTATATTTCATAGTCATGAGTAGGTACACATGATGCTGCAGGAAACACACTAGTTTATGGACATATCAGTCAGTTGCCAACCTGCAGGCTGCACACCCACACATGCTTTCATACTGTGCATATTGATGGATTGTTCAGTGTGGTAGGTTCAGTGAATTGCACACAGCAGAGAAAAGCAAACTGAGAATATATATAAGTAAATATCAAAACACCCATAAGATTTCAAACCAAAGAAACACAGCAACAAGAACAATTAACACTATTCAACAGTTGAAAAACAATAAAATTTAATTTAATTTTAATTTCTGTTACCATCCTTTTATTAATCATGAATTCTCTCAGACTGATTACAGTGGAGAAATTACACAGAATGATCAGATTTAGAAAAGCTGCCAAACCTCCATGCACATATAAAGAGTGTATAATACACAAAAGGGAACATGTGCCCACACATTCCCTCTCAGCAGCAGTTGTAGCTGCAAGTCATATGAAACACAATTATTCAATATAACTCTGGGAACAGTCTCACCGGTGGATAGAATGATAGAAGACATATAAATAGCTAAAAATGATTCAACCCACTGACAGTGCTACATTCCACCTAAAAATCAGGCCATTATATAGAAGAAAAACATCTATTTACTTTAGAAATTCCACCAGCCGTTGGGTGAATACTAAACAATAACAAAAAATCAATGAAACCATGTTTACAGGACAAAAAAATACTTGACTAAGCTTAATTTAAACCACACTTAATACCCAATAGAGTAAAGGAATACTGTGGTTGCTTGGTAAAAGTAATGTTCTTTTCCACGGTACTAAACCTTCTTGTATTTTCACTTTGCTCCAGGACAATCAGCTCCACTTTCTGCAGGATGACCTGTTCTCAGATCTGGTCAACCTTACCCATCTTTTCCTGCATGGCAACCGCATCCGTGCCCTCTCTGAGAATGTGTTCAGAGGCCTGGTCAACCTGGACCGCCTCCTTATCCATGACAACCGCATCAGACAGGTCAACCGTCGGGCTTTCCGTGACCTGGGCCGCCTGACCATCCTTTATCTGTTCAACAACTCCCTGGCCGAGCTGCCAGGCCAGGCCATGAAAGACACCCAAGGCATCCAGTTCCTCCGCCTCAATGGAAACCCCTGGTCCTGCGGCTGTGAGGCTCGCCCCCTCTGGGAGTGGTTCCGCAAGGCCCGCATCTCTTCCTCTGAGCTCATGTGCACCTCCCCATCCCAGCGTCGCGGCCAGGACCTCAGATTTCTCCGGGAGCTGGACTTCGCCCTCTGCCCTCTGCCTGACCCCGGCTCTCTGGCTGGAAGCACCACAACCACCTTCAGCACCAAGACCCGCTGGTGGTTCTCCAAGAACAAGCCCGCATCTTCATCCAAGTCATCATACCAGAAGAGCACAGACACGGTGAAGGCCTTCCCCTTCCCCGCCGTCAAGCCTCAGTTCCTCCCCAAAACCCCCTCTGAAACCATCTCTGCCAAGTATGAACTGTCGGAGGATGAGGTGGCGCTCCCCAAGCTGGACCAAGAAGAATACTGGGCCAACTACGGCAACGAAGACGCCTCCATCCGCTGCTTCGAGCTGGAGTGCCCCCCAGGCTATGACCCAGCCTTCCCCTCATCTTCCTCCCTACCCGTCACCCCATCTCTTCTCCACCTCCTCACCCTCTCCATAGTCACATTCACTCTCCATTTCCTTTTTGGCTGAACGAATTCTCCCCTCCACACCCCTTTTTCTCCTCCAATTTCTCCCCCTGCTCTTTCTAACTCTAACAAAAACCTGGATCTCAGTTCCTTTCAGTTACCTCCTCAAGTTGCAGGGGGTGCTACACTGACACAGGAGACAGGCAAGGCAGCGAGGAGCTGTTTTCAAGAGCAGAGATCAGTTCATATAGAGCAGGACAGGATTTCAGTGTTGAAGTAGCTGCTGCTAAGTAGTACAGGCTTTAAAAAGCAGTGATCACATCGTCGATTGTGATAGGTACAGTACAATGGCAGAAACCTACAACAACATCATGAAATAACAGAGACATAACTCACTGGTGGTGTCTCCAGATGTTTTTTGATATGACAGCTGTAAACAACGCAGGCGTTGTATCTCGTCTACAGCTATTTTCTATATCAGCTAGTGCTCACTATTCAATCACCGCTAACATTATCCCTCACTAATTTATTTATTTCACAGTGAATAATAGTGGTGATTATTAATGATAAGCTATTTGGCACTACCAGAAGAAAGGTGCGGATTAACACAGATGATGAGAGGCTTGGAAGGAGAGAAAAGAAAAATACAGAACTACAGGGTGAAGTGAAAAGAAAATGTGAGCAGAGTGAGCTTTAGATACTCATCTAAAGGCAGAAGAGGATGAGAGGATCATTAGATCTGCAGCCAAAAGCGACTCTCCTCCCTCCTTCGGATTCAAAATCTTGTGTGATCCCAGAGATGCCAGCAAACCACCACCCACACTTGTACATACCACACATCATCACTGTACATACACCCATCGCAAAGTGCTCTGTAATTTAGACTAGCTGGATTTTTACTTTTAGTACCATTTATTTAACGACAGCTTGTGGTGATAGAAGAGATACTTAGATAGTAAATTGAAGGCAAACTAATTAGATGTGGAAACAAAAACCTTTGTGTTTTCCAGTCTTGTCCCTTCCTCCCTCAGACAGCCTAAAAACTTGTTTCCCGAAAAGTGATTGGATTAAACATATCAGTACAAGCAGATAAATAATAGATGCCCACTAACTAAAAAGGAAAGGCTTGTACTCCAGATTCAGATTTTTGTGTGTGTGTGGTTCAGTTTTTGTTGTGTGAGTGGGATTGGACTGTTGTAGACTAATAACCAAAGTCCTGAGTAGACCAGTTTGATTAGGTCTCTTCTTGAAATGAGTGCCTGTGTGTATGGCCTCTGTCTATTTGTCTTTCTGTCTTGTCTTTCCGTTGGTTAGTCTGGATTTCCAACCGGATATAGAGACGGTAAAAACAACACCAGGGCTGAATCCTACACAGCTCTTTGTGTAGTTTGAAGCCTCAGTTCTCTGTCTGGGTGGCTCCTGTTACATTACACTTTGACCTGCAATTTGTCTCCATCAGAGTGACTGTGTGTGTGTGTGTGTGTGTGTGTGTGTGTGTGTGTGTGTGTACGAGGATGTGTGTATTTCTTAACTGACAGTTGAAAAGTCCCTTTATGCACATGTCTCAAGGACCCAAAACTGTTTCTAACAAGTGTAGTTTCAGAAATGCATGAGAATCTGTGTTATTGTTTTACTATTTTCTGAACAAATTAGGTCAATCCGAGGGTTTCATCGGATTTCAATCATGTATATCTGTATTTTATGGCACTACAGATCACAGACAATCGAGCTGTTATGCATAAAACCATTATTCATTAGAGAACCTTTCCTCCACTGTGTGATTTTGGAAAATGGGATGGGTATTTACTCAGCAATCTGTTCAACACAATGCCAATCCAACCTGTTTGTGATCTGCATTATTCATGATCCTTGTCAACCCCATATGTTAATAAGCCCATGCTGTACCAATCAACCCTGAACCGTGACTGTGAGTTTCTGCATAGAACATGAAAGATACTGTGATGCTGTTAGACTCTGTATTTTTCAATAGAAAATTGAGTGTGTTTTGCTTTGTTAAAAAATAAAGAAACAATCAAACAAAAATGTTCCTTGTTGTTTCACTGTCTGTTCACAAAGGAATAGAAGCAAAAACACAATGTACACAGACGAAAATAGATAGAAACCTTGACATAGTGATATATTTGGTTAAGTGTCAAAGCATAAAGGTGATTTTAGTCTAGCATTGCAACAATAAATTCACTTCTTGAATCAATAGCCTACTGAACATAACTTTTACAAAGACAACAGTTTCCACTTTCACACTAAAAGCACAGTAATATATAATTATTCTGAATGAGTGTTGTCAGTCTCATTAGAGCATAGTCTTTAATTTTGACATCTGACAGCTTTCAGCAAATAAGTCAACAATCAGGAAAAAAAGTTTTTAGAGAATCACATAATACTGCTTCGTTCAAACCTCTAAGGAAAGGAAATGTGTTGTGTGTCTGTGTGTGTATGCAAGTGTGTGAAGTGTAAGGAATCATGTGACAGTGTGAGCGTGTTTAGTGAAGGTCAGTCTCGCCTGTCCCTCCTCGACCCAATCACTTTTCTCACCATGTGCAGAAGGCAGCTATATTTGGCCATATTATGCAGAGAGATGGGTCGATGAGCTGTCCAAGTGTAGTGTGTGTGTGTGTGTTTGTATGTGTGTATGTGTGTGCGTGGTTTCATGGGGTTTTGGGGGGGCGGAATACTGAGGTATGATTCAGGGAAGGGGCAGAATGGGGAAAACGCCAGGATGAAAATGTGACGATGTGTCCCAGAATCAGTACACCCCCTCAACAGACTAACTCTCACCATAATAATGATGGTGATACATACACTCATGCATGTGTTTGAAAGTGCAAAAACACATGGACATACATGTACATATGCAAATACACACTAACACAATCAAATTAAATTCTGAGACGTTTGGTTCAGAGGCTTTCTAATCTTTTTTGTCTTCCAGCTCACATATTATTCATCACTTTCACACCTTACTTTGCTCTCACCTTTCCTTCTTCCTCTTTTCTCTCCTTTATTTTTCTCGTCTCTGTGATGAAAGTTCCCTCCCTCCTTCGAGTCAGAGTCTGCAGGAGATAAATCATCATCATCAACCCACATACATTATTGTAGGTACTTAACAGAAGGTTCCTTTAAGAACTTTTTATTTACTCTGCTCCACATTTTTTTCAGGCAAATTTTACATGCACATTTTTATCTTAAAGAAGCCGTATTTAACGCTGAGACTGAGACAACAAACTGCCATAATTCATAGAGGGAAATTTAGCACACTTGGGTGGTAAACCTCGGTGTATCTATGTTGTTAATAAAGCCATTAGAGTTTTGGAAATGTTATGAACCAGTGTCATAGGTGTTTGGTTGGGGTATTATCCTGTGATTGGCTGCAGAAGCAGCAAGGTTTAATAAATCCTTGTTGTCTCCCAATCTAGCAGTAAAATCTGGCCCTTTGTGTCAGCATCAAGATTTTACTGTTAAAAAGAGCCAGACTAAAAGAGTCTACATGGTAACGACGTTAGGTTGTCTTGAGGGACTTAAAACCTCCTCAGTAAACATTAAAGTAATAATGACAAGACAATTGTCTAGCCTTAATAAAGATGCAAGGTGAAACATACCAAATTTCCACCAAGAGACGAGAATGTAATACCATCAATGCTGAGTAATAAGAAACTTGTTTTTCACAACTAAAAATACTTGCCGTCTTTCCCTGCAACATGCTACTGCTACTATTCACAGTTATTTCTCTTTTCACCCTAAACTACTGTAATACTGCCTGTAACAAGTTTACACCTGCTGCCTGCTTTGTAGCTTGGCAACCTGGGAAATGTGGAAAATTGCTGATAGAAAGAGTAACTGTGGCTGATTGAAGGAAACACTGTTTTGTTAGGCATACCACCACAGATGTGTTGACACTTTATTATGATATAAGGCAATCTAGGGACGGAGTTTGTCTTAAATGCCAGTGTGTTTGTGCTTTTGTAATAGTTTGCTTGATAACATGCTAATAAAATGATTCTGGCAGCCGGTTAACAAGCACAAAGACTGGAAACAGGAGGAAACAGCTAGCCTGTCTCCGTCCAGTGGTGACTAAATCTGCCTACCAGCTCTTCCAAGTACACTAATTGACACGTTGTATCTAGTTGTATCAGTACAAAAACTGAAGTTTAACCATGAGATTTAGAGGAATTTTGTTGTTGTTGGGGGTCGGACAGGCAAGCTGTTTCCTCGTTTCCAATCTTTGTGCTACGCTAAGGTGACCAGCTGCTCACGGTTTCATAGTTACCATACACACATAAAGACAGTATCAATCTTCTCATTTAACTTTCCCCTAGAGAGAAAATGTGTGTATTTCCTGAAATCTTAGACTTTTGCTTTAAAGGTCCAACATGTAACATTTAGGAGGCTCTATCAGCAGAAATAGAATATAATATTCATATGTATGTTTCCATTATTGAGTAATCACCAGGAAATAAGAACTGTTGTGTTTTTGTTACCTTAGAAGGAGCTATTTTTATCTACAGAGGGAGCGGCTCCTATTCCATGGAGGCTGCCATGTATAACCGCCATGTTTCTTCAGTAGCCCAGAACCAACAAACCAAACATTGGCTCTAGTTTTTTGGGAGTTTTGCAGCCACTAAAGTTTCTCTTGCATGATTAGAATGGGAGGATGATGCGAGGGGGTTCTAATCTGCAATATGCCACTAAATCTTGTGCACTGGTCCTTTAAGGATATTTTAAAACAGCATGACCTCAGGCAGTCAATTCTTCCAGCAATAGTAAAAACATCCGTAGGTTCAGACTTTTCATAGACATGTGACTGGGAAAACATGAAAACCAGCATTGGCCTTTACTACAAAAGCTTTTGCAACCGTTACATGAATGGTGACCACAAAGACTTCATATTATTAATTCATTTAAAAATAGCATCTTTGAATTTACATTATGTAAAAAGACATTTACTCAGGTCATAATCTCACACCATTGTGCAGCTAGCAGTAATTGAAGACTGTCGATATCCCCTCTCAGCTTTTCCTCTGCTACCCACCTCAAGAAATGCACATCAAAAACTTTAATTGTGACCAATGTGATTACTCTATCCATTCTTTCAAGTTGCTGTTTTCCTGACAGCACTGTAGGCGTTTGCCCTCTATGCGTGAAAGCAGCTGCCTGGGTGGTCATGGGACACATTTACAGTTTTTCCGTTGCAGGAAAACAACCAGCTCATTAGCAGAGAGAATGCCTCTGAAGTCGTCAGACTTTGATGATGTGTGCTTATCATGTTCTGTGCCCACTCATTCTCCCCCAACTCTCTTATCATATTTTCTTGCCTCTGCTTGTCTTCCTCTCCTTTGTATGTTTTCCTGCCTTTCATATGCTGTCACTCAGCCATTGTTTGAACCCCTATCACTCCAGCACTCCTCTCTTTCTCTCTCTGCCTGTCACACAGTCTCCCCCACATGGTTATGCTCGCCTTGGCCAAGCCTGTGCATTGGCTCATATGAGTTGGCGTGCTTGCTTGCGTGTCATCGGCGTGTTCACTGACGCTCACCATCACACATGTCTTATTTGCAGAGAACAAACCGAGACTCGCACCCTGACGTCAGAGGACCCGGGATGGAAGCTGACAGAGACTTACAGGAGGATGAAATGGATTCTTTCACTCCCACTTCATACTGAGTGTTCACGTTGAAGGAACAGAACAGAAAAGATGTCTTTTCTTGACATTATAGACAAGAATATGTTCATAACTTCAGTATGACAATGCAGTGGTGCAGTAAATGTGACATCCATAATTGATGAACATAATTTGCAGCACTGTTGCACTGACCAGCTCCCGTTGTTCAGCACATGGAAACATGAGACTGTGGGGCATTGAACCCCTGCTCCTGATAAGTCGTCAAACGGAAGAGAGAGGAAAAAGAGTCAGGCAAAATAGGGGGATGAGGAGATCCTCTCACCAGCTAAATAAATCATTTTGAGTGGAAACACTGAGTACTCTCATATAAACAGTGAGACTTTGCTATGAATTCACCAACTGAGTCCCAGTGTCATTGGATAAAGACCCGGCGTTTACCAAAAGAGCATCAGTGGGAAACCTCTGAAGTATTTACAGAATGCCAAAAACATAAGAAAAAGAAAGTTATTGCTTTTAACTCTTTTAAAATACAGTTTTATTATGTGCAGCTTTTTAAAAAGGTTTTTATAACTGCAAAAAGCTAGTGACTCAAACCACAGTAGTTCATATAATTCTTCAAGCCAATAAACAAAATTGAAGCTACATTCATTCACAAAGAACTGATTATAGTGAAATGCAGAGTTCTACATGGCAGCTTTAAAAGTACACTGTAAAATATCCAGTGCTGGAAGAAGAAGAAGTAGTCTGATTGTAAAAATAACAACACAACAATGTAAAAATACTCATCTAAAGTAAAAGTCCACCATTCAAAATGCTACTTAGGTTAAAGTACAGAAACAAAATGTTACATTCAACAACCACATTATTTGCTTTTTAATATGTGCGTAAACAGAATTTTACAGTTGCTGTTGGTCAAGATGAAGTTATGCATTATATAAAGTCAGGTCTCCTTATTTAGCTCAGTGATTCCCAGCCTGTGGGTCAGGGTTTCTTCAAAGTGCCACAAGGTAAGTGATGAGTTTCATAATGTCAATACATGAGTTTTGATTATTTTAAGTATTTAAATAAATTTTAAGTTAAGTCAACTTTTCTTACATTTTCTAGACTTTCCAGCGTGTATGGTTTGAGTTTTAAACTTCTCCAGAGTCTCGAAGAAGATGAAGAAAAGAGACATGTTGGAAACCTGCTGTGTGTCGTTTACTGAAATGCTTCCCAAACTTTTTACTTAAGGGCCATACATAATCATACATAGTTAATAGACTTAGTTTTTGACAAATTCAGTGTTTACTTCTAATTGCTTTATTAGCTCTTCGGTTGTTTTAACTATATGCAGGATAAGGCTGTTTGGCAGAGAGTGACGCTCTGTAAATATAGCTTGTGTTCAGGTCTTAACTGTGTTCCTCCTGTGCGACTTTTTTTAAAATTTCTATCCTAAATAATAATCAAATCTTTTTTTTAAAAAAAGTTTTATTACATCCCTTCAGATAAAGAAGGCTTTTGACCCCCAAGTTGGGAACCACTGTTTCACTGTGGTATGTGAGCAGCCTCTCATATATTATCTTTGTACCCACTCTGGTATAAAATTGTCTCTTGCAGGAACATGTACAGCATACTGTGAGTAATGGACTCTTGAACCTGAGTCAATGTAACTACAAAATCTGTCTGTAATATGTGTCAGTGTGACTAAACAGTTGTTGATCCAACTTAATATATTAAGCTTATTGAACTTGTTTGCCCAACACCAGTGAACTTAACTAATTCCATTATAATGGCCCATGAGCCAACTTTGAATTACTCATGTTTAGTTAGCCTAACTCACTTTCAAGGCAGCAGTGGTACTTGTGTTTTGTGTGCTTAACAGATTTAGAACCATTTAAAGAGGAAGAATATTGAATTATCAAACAATTAATTCTACTTTTATCAGCTGGAGAGCCCTAAAGTAGATAAGATGCTGTAGCTGAGAGCAGCAAACATAACAAAAAGACTTGAATTTATGAATGAAATATTCGCCTTCTGTTGTTGTTGTGTGTACGCACAGAAATATCTGTGTTCATTCAAGTGTTTGTGTGCGCTTGATCACAGGACTACGCATTGTGTGTAGGCAACCAAGAATCCTGTGCATCCGGTCTTGAGTCAGTCTGAAGTAAAAGAAGAAAGCGGGGTGAAGACGGGGCACATCTGTCTGACGGTCTGTCAGCTCCTCTGAGGGTTTACGCACACAGCTAAAAATACATTGCAACAGATTGCAAAGACAGATCGGGATCCAAAAAAATAAAAAAAGGTAGAGATTTGATGAGTTCTTTGTGTCTGGTCGGTTTCACGAAAATGGGACGAACTGAGTGAAAGATTTGAATCACATGGCAAAGACAATAAAAGTAAAAGTGACCAAGAAAAAGAGTGGGTCTTGAGTTTGTTGTTCTCAAGAGAACAAAAGAACCGTGATTAGATGAGCGCTTGTGAGTCAGTCACACCGCCTCGCTCTGGGAGGTTGTATAGCCCGTGATTGTTGGCACAGACGCAGCTTGTGACGACAATTTGTTTGAGTGCCCAAAAATGTGACTGCCACATCCACTGAGAAAGACACAGGAGATTCGGTATTGCTATTCCGGTAACACCATATTTGCTCTTCACTTTGGAGTATTCAAACACATCCGTCTGTTGCTCTGCAGGGTTTTCTCTCGCTTTCTTACTGTATGTTTTGGATGCTGTCTTTCAGCTGTCCCTCCCAAATCCATATTTGGGGATTATGTGAACAATTAGAGAATTAGGGGACACAACCCTTAGGACCGGCATTCATCTGCCCCAATGTTTGCAGAGCACATCATAGACATCTTCGACCAGAAGGGGGATTGATCTGAAGTGTATCTTTGGTTTTAGGTCTGAATGGGATGACGCAAATATGAGACCAAAATAAAGTCAAACTCCCATGATTCTGTCAGGGGTCCCAATGTGTCATCTGTATGTCCAAAGTGTTTTCTTTACCATGAAACCTTGTTTAAAATGATAACGTATTATGTTACATGCAGCATATGTCATTGTTGAATCATTTGTTAAATAATTGCTGGAATCAAGAAAAAAAGTCCATTGATGGCTGCTTACCCGGAAACCAGGAACACCAGCTGGGATGACTTTCCATGGAAGACGCTCTGGTGACCTGCCAGATCTGGGTTTAGGTAGGAGCAGAAGCAAAGTCTCTGACTAACACAAAAGGTTAGATAGTTCTTGAAAACCCTTTGTAGCAGCCAATGAAGTTGTCATCAGTTACTGTGATGGATGAATTAGCTAATTATATAAAAACATGCAATAAAATAATGTTGTGGATAAAATAACATGTTAAAGCTGAAAGCTTATTTTGAATGGTTTCTTTGTTCAGCAGTGAGCAGGTTCAGCTGACTGATCTTCATGTAAAGAAAGGTAAAGAGAATAAATCTTCAGCCAATATCTTAATGGTAGCGTGGTAAAAATGTTTCAAAGACATAAATCTGTATCTACTTAAGGTATGATGAATACTCTGTATAAATACCCTTTTTTTAACCCCTTTTCTATAATTTATTAAAGTGACGACTAAGTGACACATTTTATGGATATTTAATATTATATTCAAAACTGTACAATGAACCCAAATATATAAAGCACTATAAAACTATAGTGTGTGAGGAATATTGTCTAAAGCAAGTGATTTGAATGAATTTTAAGCAGATTATTTCCTCACTATGGATATTTTAAAACAATATCTGTCTGTATTGTGGTTTTTTTAAAACTTGCTTAACAATTATATGAACTTAATGGGCTTATTTTTTTGACAAATTCATTGTATTGCTGTCCCTGATGTTTGGCCATTGTTCTATTAGATAAGTTACATTTGCTTTTCTTCACAGAAGTGAACCAGAGACTGAGATAAAGGCCTACTGTGTATATGTTTTAAGTTTTCTAGCACGCCTTAAAATCAAGAAGGCCTTGCAACCCACTAGGAAGCATTGGCGACCCCTAGTGGGGCTCCCGATCCTCAGGTTGGGAACCAGTGCTGCAGCCTACTTATTATAGGGGGACCCAGACTCCAGATAAAATAAAGTTATGAGATGCTGGTAAAAACAGCTAATAAGCGATGTGTGTGTGTCTGAATATAACTAATTTTGTGTCATAACGTTACATCAGTAAGGAAAACCCGTTGTCAATGGAAAAAAAACCTAAAGTTTGATTGATGGAATTGCTTCTTAATAATGGTTTCGTCCATCACGCTGAAACCCCCTTCAGCCAAGTACTTTGGTACAGCCGACATGCGCGCGAAACTAAAGTTTTGTAACAGCAATGGCGTCTAAAGCAGGTAACGTAGGTGAGCTTTATTTATAGACGTCCACTAATAAACTAATACAACTGCGTCCTTTAGCAGCATTATACAGATGTAATGTATCGTGTGTAGTTAATATATAACGCTAGGTGACGTTACAGTGTCTTACACAACGGTTGTCATCTGATGTTAATGCTCAACTTAGCTGGAGAGCTTAGCTTCAAGGCTAACAGGGGAACCACTGAGAACCAACTTTAATCATTCACACTTTATTTAGAGTTAGTCTCGGTTCTTTATCTAACATCCTCTTATATTTAATAGTCCCTTTTATTTAGTGACGTTATTGACAGCATCGTCTTTGTTATGAAAACAAACCTGCAACAATATCACGTGTGCAGGTCGTCGAGGGAAGAAACGCAAAGCGGAGGTCCAGGATGAGGAAGAGGAGAAACCCTCTGTGGAGGAGAAGAAAGACAGAGGAGAGGGGGAGGACGACCAGGAGGGCCAGAGGGTGGTCATTGAACACTGGTGAGTAACTTAGTGGTATCACATTATAGTCTGTAGACAGATACTAAACATTGATTAAGTAGTTAATTAGTTAGTCTCATGTAAAAGTAGTCCATTTGATTCTACTCCTAGTAGAGATAGTGATCAATGTATGGGCCCGCTTTTTAATGTAGACAGTCATGGTTGATGGTTTTGTGTCTGTATTCCCATTTCAACAATATCCTCAATGTTGCTCAACATAGGAAACACAGAACTCCTAAAAATGTCACGATCATATAAATCTATATTAGATTAGGATTAACAGTTTCAATTATATCAGCTTTGGTTTTTAGAAATCATGTTTTTTGTCTGTCATTTTGGCACAGCGGTTGGCTCTAAAACGCTACGATACCCTTGAGTCTCAGCCACTGTTCAATTCAGAACATTTGTTATTGCAAATTAACAAAACACAGCATCTTACTTTCTGATTTCTACCAAAGTTGACCTGAAAGTTAAAAGTAAACTAGAGCTGTGCTATAAATCAATTAGTTTAAACCGTGGATGTGATAATGCTGAGATACACAGCTGCTCAGGACTCTGTAAAACAAGTCCTAGTCCAGTCAAATTTACACAATGTGTAGTATAATTTCCCCATAGTAACCTTAACACCAAGTGTATTGATTGTACATCAACCCCTGTTTTCTCTGCACTGAATCACTATCGGACAGTTCCACAAGAGCTATTCCATCTATTGAATGGGTACATTGAAGTACATGAGCCTATCTGACAGGGCTGTGCAGGTATATCAGACAAAAAGGTTCAGATCTGCTGCTCTTTTTCACAATATGTCCTGCTGAACATTAGGCAACAAACAAGCATGATACCTTCATAAAAGAAGCAGCAACAACTCTGAAGAATGATGGATATGCAGCATTGTAGACATCATCAGCTGCTGCCTATAGTTATTAACTAATACATTTCCCCCTAATGTATGAGTATAAAATGGTATTAATAAAGTAAAGTGTGCGTTAAACTTGAGTAAATGTATGTAGTTATCATATCATCCTCATGGATAAGTTGCACACATGTCCAACTGATGGTTTATCTGTTATTTCTGGCAGTAAGAGCTGACGAGTGTATGGGCGTAATGCTGAGGAGGTGAAATCCGCCCTCTTGGCAGCGCACCCTGGACTGACTGTGGTCCTCAACCCTGAGAAACCCCGCAGGAAAAGCTTTGAGATCACTCTGCTGGACGGAGGCAAAGGTGAGGAAGGCCGAAAAGGGGATGTCCAAAAATAACTCGACCATTTGGCGTCCCCAGTGAAAGACCATCATTCTTAGCCAAGTGTCACTATCTCTGTTTTTGAACTTCTACCCATTTGTAGTGGCTATTAAAGGTTCACTTCACCAAAATTACAAACAACAAAAACAGTTTTTTTTGTAACCCCTGTTTGCCACGTACCTAGTGTAGTTTTCTTATGTAGGTTGAGGAAAGACCAGTAAGGACAGGAAAGGTATAAACAGGCATGTGATGAGAATGCAAACTTCAGAATGATCCAGAATCTAAACACGTTTTTCAACCATTCAGGAAAAGCCAAACCACAAAACTAATTTCATCTTCATGTTTAAAAGGTTTTACATCCGCTGTAAATTGGATGTGTTAGCTGGGGAAGTGAAGAAAGTAAAATATTACCACAATTGTACTCCAAGTTGTTGTCTCTTCTGCCTCATTAAACCCTCCTCGAACAGCCAACAGGAGGCTGTGTTTACCAGAAGTGCAGAATGGCCACCAGAGATTTGCAAAAAAGAATGAGACGTGATAAAACACAATCTCCCTTTGCTAATTAGCCATAATGTGTGCTCTGTGTTTATTGTGTAAATATAATTAGACATGAGTTAGTGTTCACTTTTTGACCATTTATTTTTGGAGTATCAGAGCTATCGCATATTGAAAGTATTTGATTTTACTGCTATCCTCTAAGACATGAATAATATTGCTCATCTTCTTTATTGTCCCACAAATTACTCCGTTCTATTCTGTCCCATCCCTAAAGAAACGTCTCTGTGGACTGGAATAAAGAAGGGTCCGCCTGGTAGGCTGAAGTTTCCCCAACCCGATGTTGTAGTTGCTGCTCTACAGGAGGCTCTAAAGGCTGAGTAGACACCTTGTGAAGGTTTGTCATTTCAAAGCTGTCCTACAGAATAATAATAATAATATGGAAAGCATTAGATATACAAATTAGGAAAGATTTCACGCTCACAGTAAATTTCATTCAGCTGTAAAAGGAGATTTGAGAGCTGCTTTGTTTTAGAGGTAAAGGGAGTTGAAGGTAAATTGGTTCTCCTCAGATTGTTTCACACGAGGGATCCCAATATGGATTTTAACATGTAGCTGTAGCTATGCAGAATTCATGTTTGAAATGTCTTTTTTTATTTTACAATGGGATGTATGGTATCACCATTTATCTCAGCTGCCTAGTTTGTGGGCAAGAATTAACTTAAACTTAAACTTATGAAATGATGTTGATGAGGCGAGTTGGTTGCAATCTGCTACTTCACCACTAGATGTCACTAGCTAATGTGCAAATTTATATTTGAAATGCTGAAATGTCTTCCCTTATGTATATTTCCATTTCCCCACTGCCCCCTCCAGAGTCATGTGTCATAACCCAAACTTCGATTTCTTTTTATGTCTTAGCATTTTATGAGTCACCAGCCTAGAGGAGACATAAACTGCTTGTTAGTCAAGCTCATAATACAGTGTCAACTTTCAGCCATTAGACTATAACTAACAGACTTCTTACTTTCAGTGGCTATATGGTGTGGACCCTTCTATAAGATGAAATTAGCAGGTCTCACAGCAGTAATGGCTATAGTAATGACACCATGTGCGTTTATAGCCTCGCTTTCACTCTGCAGTTCTGTCTGCCTTCATGCATGATATTTCCCAGCAAAAAGAAGGCTCAATTTATGGCACACCTGGTAGATCCCCTTGTACAAACTCCTTACTGCAGTGGTCTGGGTTCAATTCCATCCTGTGGCCCTCTGCTGATTGTCATCACCTCTCTCCCTACTTCCCTGTCTCTCCTCAGCTCCTTCAGTCTAATAAAGGTTTTAAAAAAAAAACCCCACCAAAAATAGTGTATACAAAAGTGTCTTTGTTAAATGTTATTATAAAATTAGTTAGACTCAAAACACATCGTCTTGTTGCTTATTAGTTATTTTTAACATCTCATATGATATTTTGGTCCTCTTTCCCCCCCGGAGGCTCGTGTTGTAACCTACCTTTAAATTTCCTTTCATGTCTTTATGAGTCACCAGCCAAGAGGAGACGTGAACTGCATACAGTGTCAACCTTCAGTCATTAGACTATAGCTAACACACTTCTTACTTTCAGTGGCAGGATAAATGGCGTGGACCCTTATTTAAGAATAAATGATTTCATAATTATTTTTTTGTGTTTATTCCATTTCATATCATAAGTTTGATTAAATTCAGTCAAAACTACTTTACCCCCTGTACTTTGTAGAGTGTCTATACTGCTGCTGGTCAAGATTGATGGCCTCATAGGTAACTAGGGCTGGAGTAGGGCTAGTACCTGTGGTGTGTTAATTGATTTTATTTATTTATGTAGAGTTTAACATGAAAAAATGTTGTTTTACATGCAGCCAACAGTTCGGGAGATGTGGCTCAAGGAAGCAGAATGATGAGGAGTGACCAATGAGAGGTTCTCAGTCTCTTCTCTGATGATCCAAGCTTCAGTAGCTCATGCCTTCTGGATACATGGTGACACCTGGTGGAGCATCTCTGCACCAATACATTTCACAACTTCTGCTGTTTTCTAAGTGTGTTTCTCCATTCCTCAACGGTTTATTGTGCTTTTATATCTGTTTATGGTAAATAAAATGTTTCTTGTTTCTTAGTTATTGTGTGAGTGTATGTTTTTATTTTTATTTTTGTCATTTGGGAGGTATTTATTTCTGTAATTATGGCACTTTCATTAGCACATCAACAATTCTTGCTGTATTGAGCTGGACTGATGCGTTAATATATTCCAATATCTTAAAACGTCTAATACATATCTCGAATGGCTTAAGCTCTTAATACAGTGATTATGAAAGGTGTATTTTCTTCTGCATATAAAACCTGGTTTTGTCCACTTGTTTTCGGTACCCAGTGATTTTTAAAGCCTTAAGATAACATTTGTTACTAAATTATTAAATTATATCACAACAAATGAAGGTTTCCCAATTTAAAATAAAACTTTTCACTTGATGCTGAAAAACATTATTACATAACTGTTGGTTTTAAATAATAAAATGACAACAAAAATAGTCTTTATTGACTCACAATCGTATTGCTGTCGTTTGTATCGATCCAATAGTCAATAATCGATTTTCCCCCCCAACTGAAACAAACGTCGACGACGATTGGTTGCTAAGGGTGTGACATCATCATTACGCGACCAGGCAGGCACAGGACAGAAGCGAACAGATGGGAATCATTTTCATGCTACAATAACGCTTCAGATTAGTTTGTAAGTACTATACATTAATAATAAATATCCGACGACATTTATTCGACAATACGGGAGCAGTTTACTGACGTTTTGAGCGTTTCTAGGAAGTAAATCCGCCTTTACTGCTGAAATTAACGTGGCTGATTTAACCACGGCCTGCTAACTTAGCTGGTGTTTGCCAGCAATTATAAACCAATGAGCGAAATTATTCTCTCGCAATGTGCTCATGGATAAGTAAACATCTTCTAAAATCTTTCAGATAACTCTTATTATAGCCAACGCTTAGATTAAAACTATTCCTGTTCAAAGACTGAAACCCTCAGTGAGGCTGAGAGTTGAGTTGCCACTTAAAATAAAAGGTAACTTACCTGGTGGCATTAATTTAATACTTATTATTTGTTATTTGACTGTGTCGTTATGTTTGTATTAGCGTTTATGAAAAAGAGATGTATGTTAAAATACTGATTATATACATATTTTAGAACTTTGTGGCTCTACTTTTCACAAAAGTCAATATTCTTGACATCTCATAGAGTTAGTACATCATAAATGTAATAATACTACATTAAAATGATCTTCAATTCCAATGACATACAAACAGCCAGTATTGTGTTATCATACTGTATGCTTGTAACTTTTTCTGTTCAATGTGCCATTGTTGCCAGGTATTTGTAACAAAGACTTCACCATGTCAGTCATGGCAACAGAGGGTGAAGTGAAGACGAGTGAAGAGGCTCCAGCCACTGGGAAGGCCAGCACCAGGTTCGACTTGGAGAAGGAGACCGAACTTCGGTTTGAGGTGGAGTCAGGGGAGGCAGCAGAGCAAGTTGAGCTGGAGCTCCTCACAGGAATGGCTGAGGTGTTTGGCTCAGAGCTGAACCGCAACAAAAAGTACACATTTGGACCAGGCTCCAAGATCGCAGTTTTCACCTGGCAGGGCTGCAGTGTGAATCTTTTTGGGAAGCCAGAGGTGAGCGTGTGGAGGAGAGTCTGAATGTGTGAATGTTTTCATGGGGGTTTTGTTTTGGCTTACTTGGTGATTCAGCTCACCATTCAGGCTCAAATAACCAGCGTCTCTCCCTCATCGCCTCAGGTGGCTTATGTGTCCAAGGATACTCCCATGCTGCTATACCTGAACACACATGCTGCCCTGGAACAGATGAGAAAACAAGCAGAGCGGGACAATGAGAGGGGGCCAAGGGTATGTTTTAATGAACTGTTTTCAGGGGCCTTTATATGCAAGCTTGTCAGATCCCAGTAAATGCATTTTGTATTGACATGGAATAATTAATCATCCCTCAGGTGATGGTAGTGGGACCTACAGATGTGGGGAAGTCAACAGTGTGCCGACTCCTATTAAGCTACGCTGTAAGGGTAGGCCGGAGGCCAACACTGGTGGAACTGGATGTCGGACAGAGTGGGGTAAGAAAAATTTGAGTTACGATAATAAACGTCGATCCAGACTGCAGAAATTAGAAGAATATCACCGGCTAATATGTGTATTATTTTGCTCGTCATGCAGACTTTTCTTCTTGAATTCATGAATACTGAACCTACAGAATCTGTTTTATATAATAGTTATGATGCCTGTAAAGGAAGCATTCCCATATGTCTGGTTCTGTCAATCACATGAACAATAACGGGAAGTTTAGTATTTATAACACAAGAATGACAACAGTGACCTACTGCTTGTGATGTAGACAGTCTATATACAGATATAGGGTGGAGGTGTTGAGAAACATCAGTTTGAGTATGTAAAGTACATTCTGCTCCTCAGGTGTCTGTACCTGGGACAGTGTCGGCACTGTGCATTGAGCGTCCAGCAGACGTGGAGGAGGGTTTCTCAGTCCAGGCTCCTTTGGTCTACCACTTTGGCTCTACCACCCCAGGCACAAACATCAAACTTTACAATAAGGTGAGAAAATTCTGGACATAACAGTATGATGCCAAAAGCCTACTGCCAAACTACAAATTTAGTTTGCGTTGTCATCAGTTAATTTGATTGTCTCGGCCCAATTTAATCTGTTCTTTTCTCATAATCTGTAGCTGACGTCACGCCTGGCGGAGGTGTTTTCCCAGCGCTGTGAGGTGAACAGGAAAGCCAGCGTGGGAGGCTGTATCATCAACACCTGCGGCTGGGTGAAAGGATCAGGATACCAGGCTCTGGTCCACTGTGCCTCTGCCTTTGAGGTGGATGTGGTGCTGGTGCTGGACCACGAAAGGCTCTACAATGAACTCAAACGAGACCTCCCTCACTTTGTGCGTGTTGTGCTCCTACCCAAGTCCGGGGGGGTGGTGGAACGCTCCAAGGAATGCCGGCGGGATACTCGGGATGAAAAGATCCGCGAATACTTCTATGGCTTCCGTGGAGTGTCCTTCTACCCTTTTTCCTTTGAAGTGCGTTTCTCAGACGTCCGCATCTACAAGATCGGGGCACCATCTATTCCAGACTCGTGCTTGCCACTGGGAATGTCTCAGGATGACACACAGCTAAAGATGGTGCCTGTGACACCAGGGAGAGACCTCACGTACCATGTGCTGAGCGTGAGCAGTGCCGAGGACGGAGAGGAAGGCGCAAGAAAGGACATAGTGGAAAGTCCTGTGTGTGGCTTTATTGTGGTGACTTACGTGGACACGCAAACACAGGTGATGAAAGTGCTGTCCCCAGCCCCCAGACCTCTGCCCAGACACACTCTGCTTATCATGGACATCCGCTTCATGGACATGAAATAAAGCAAAACTTAAGGGAAGAAGTGGGGATCATGTTAGTGAGAAGTTCTGTTAAGAAGAATTTGGTACCAGATGAGCTGGATTTTCTTTTCTAGTTGTCTTTGTGCTTTGTAAGAACCACAGAGGGCAAAAGAAGGAAAGAGAGAAGTTCTAAAATTTGTACCTGCTGTAAATTATTCCCCATTTTATAGACCGCACTGTAAGGATGTTTGGGTAATTTGTGTTAAGGGATGTTTTACCAGTGCAGGAATTATTTTCATGATGATCTGTTTTATAAACACTGTTTTTTCTCTTGAATAATAAATTTTTAAATGTAAAAAGGTCTGTATTTCGTGTTAATTATGCTAATTTCCATGGTCAGCATATATTTATATCATATATATCAACCTCATTTCACACGATTCACATTTATTAGTATTTCTATTGTGTTGTGAACAATTTAAAGTTGGGCACAACGTACAGTAACAGTATCTTAGTTTCATATTTAGCATATTTCTACCCTTTATTTTCTGTGTGATTGTTATAAACATTGGCTTTAATCAGTGGCTTCATCGTAGGTGGTAGCTGTTGTGGGGGAGCATCTGAGGTGAAAACTTCACAAAGAAATGCCTTTCCAATTCCCGCTTCACATCAGTACCATATTTAGTTTTTCATAGGAAATGATTAATAATATTAATAGTAGTAATACATGCTATATGCATTCTGTTCTCACAAGTATGTGAAGTTTTAAAGCGTCTCTGTGCCGGCCTAAAGGACACCCGGGAGGAAGAATTTGATTTGATGTCCACTTTCAGTTTGAATGCGTAATTCAATTTCATAACATTTTTACATGTTTATGTTCAATGCTACTTGCATGACAAGGGGCTACTTAAATTACAATTAGAAAATGTAAGTAAGGAATTCATTATTTCTTATATTTTATTAGCATCTCGACACAATCTAATTTAGTTTACAAAGTAATTTGTAGGAATATTACAACATTGATTTATACTCCTTTTATACAGCTAATCCTTTCTCTATTGTTAATGGGATTTACCTCAAATGGTGACTGCCAAGTATCACTTAAGAGCATACAAAGTGCCAAGCTTTCAGATCGTAATAGGACTCTTAATTATTAAAGGCCTTATTAAAGCAGGTTTAGTGGAGAGAGACAAACCAGTTGGTGTTAAAACCTTCAGACCTTCAACTACCACTGATGAATGGACTTGAGAAGGACTTTAAATTCTACAGTAAACTCAAATTACACACACTGGGTTTTGTAGGCTGATTCTGTTTTGTGTGTTTTGTTTGACTCAACATATTTAAATTTAACTTTTTTAAGAAAAAATAATAAAGTGAAGAAATGTCAGTGAATAAAAAGTGAATTATTTTGGTGAGAACTTATCAGAGGGGTTGGGTTGTGCTGGGGGAATTTGAAATGATTAACTCAGTAAGTAAAACCCTGGAGACGGCCCCGCCTTTACACCAGCAGTTCTCAACCTTTTCAACTGATGACCCATTCAAATGAGGCAATGTCTGCTTCTAACCCTTTCTCAGAAGAATTTCTTTGCTAATACTCTCAGATATAATCTGAAAATAAAATAAAGGTCATTTACCCCTTTATGTACTGGCTTGATCCATGTTGGTTTGGACCAAAGCATCTGCTTTCTTCTTTCTTCTGGACTTATGAATGTGGAAGTTTCCAGCCACAGAAGTTTGATGGAATCATCTGTTAAAGAGTTTCCAGTGTTACAAACCACAACCAAGACTCATTTAAGTTTCTTAAATAGAGATATAGTTTTCCACAAGTACGCTTTGTAGGGACATAAATGAAATTAGTGGTCATGTTCTTCCTCACTGTCGCAAAATGAGAAGAAATCGTTATTTTTATTGCAAGGATATTCAGTTAAGTAAGTGTGGGCGTGGATGTGGGTGTGTGTCTGTGTGTGTGTGTACTTAAGTTCACTGTCCCCTCAGGTTGGGCAGCAAGACATGTCCTGTCTCCTTCTCCTAGGATTATTTTTAGTTTTAGTTAGTTAGTTTCATTTGTTAGAATAAATGCTCCTTATATCATCAAATGTTGTACATTGTAGGAGGAAGTGCATCTCTGTCTCAACCTCACCAGCTGAACAGTGACCACATATGTTGTTTTCTTTTGGTTGCCATGATTCTTTTGTGCCTTCCTTTTTTTCAGCCTCCAGTTTGTGGTCACTGAGCTGGTTAGGACCTGTCTCTGCTTTCTATCTCTGACAGTAACGATTGTAACATTTAATTATTATTTTAAAATTCACTCTTTTAATTTTAATTTGGGAATAAAAATGTATGTTTATTTTAAAATTGTACAATTATTATTATTAAATCAATACCGTAATATAACGCAGGACGTTTGAGCAGTTTCCTGAGACCACGCCCCCTCGGTCTCTGATTGGCTGTTCAACCCACCTGGGCGACGACCAACTACTTCCGGGATTCCGATGTCGGCCTAGCAGGCGAGCTAACAAGTTTGCTAGCGGCTAACTCAAGGAGGACCGTATCGACCCACACCCTACAGGCAAGACAGCTCGCATGTGCGGTGTTAGGTATGTTCTGCTTGTTGTATCCCTGTTTGGTGGGGACTGTTTAGCTGAACGTCGTTACACTAACTTTGCCGGCCGCCAACGAAAGCTGCTCCGCGAGTGTTAAAGCTCCCATGCTAGCCAGGTAACGTTAGCTAACTCTTTCTAGCGGTGGTAAAGGACTGAGCGGTGTCGCAAAAAAGAAGAAGAAAAAAAAAAGAAGAAACTTTCGAGGCTATAGGTGAGAGCTAACTGGTTATTATTTAGTGTGAATCTCTCATTATTACATCGAACTGAAACCTCGCAGCGTCTGTTTCTAAGTTTATAAAAGTGTTTCTCTTTGGGTGTTCACTGCTGCGCTGTGAGCAGACTGTGGTGAGTTGTCTTGACTGAATCCCGAGCATTGCCCTGGCCTGTTGTTAAACGCTTGGGCTGTTTCCACGTATGATTTCAGTCGCATGATACTCAGCGTTTGGTTTTAAACAGGACACCAGCGAGCGACTGGCAGGGAGTCCGTACTGCTCGGGAAATGTATTAATGTTTCCCCCACCGGCCACTTAACGAAGGTAGTTAGCTTTAAGAACTGCACATTGTTGCGGTGACATGACACACAAGGCTCCACACGGAGATTTTAGGATTAACATCCATTATAGTCGGTCGGGGGGGGGGATTTGTTATGGGGCAGATGAGATGATCAACAACAGGCACACTGACTCTCCGCCTCGGACACAGCTCTGTATTTGTTGGTACCTATGATTGTTGAGGAGAGGGGTGTGTCCAAACTATCAGATTACGCTGTTACTCCGGATCCTTTTTCCGTGTGTTCACACCGCACGGACTAGTTTTGGGGTGTGTGTGTGTGTGTGTGTGTGTGTGTGTGTGTGTGTGTGTGTGTGTGTGTGTGTGTCAAAGGCGTTCACCCTCGTCATAGATCGTTGTCTCCATGGTGTTTTGAATTTCCAGTAGTGGGAGGTGTTTCATTTGGCCACCTGAGTGCATGGCTGTGACAGCTGCCTGTTTAACAACAGCAGGCTGTTGAACAACTCTTTTATGAGTAATGGTGAGCACACTGTAATGCAAGTGTTTAAGGACAGTAAGAACTTGATTAGTCAGTCTGATTGTTGTGAAATCAGAGTGAAACCACAGCTTCTCTCGGATAAGTCCCTCCTGTAACCTAACAAGGAAATTAACTTTTGATAATGGGGTTTAAACCGGTAGCATGGGCATGTTCATACATGGTTGTATCATAGGGAGCTGTGTTCTCCGATAGGTTGTGTGTAGGGTCACAACTACTTATGTTATTGATTTTAATCTTTCTAGTATTTCTGTGAACTTTTAAATGCTTATCACAGTTTCTTTAACAGACTTTTTAAAAATGATTTCTACCACACAGGACAAAGAAAAGTGGCACATCAATATAATTAAGAAGTGTAAAGTAGTGGATATTTGTTGGTTTTGCTTGAAGCAAATATATTGATTATCAAAATAGCTGCAAATTAATGTAATCAACTACTTCTTTCAGTTGTTGTTTTTGTCTGTTTAGGTCTTGCCCACTGACGGTGTAATGTGTTTGTTTTTACAGGAGTGTCCATCAGATTACCAACAGAGCCAGTGGGTGAAAGAAGACAGGAGTACAAAGAGATGAAAGGACTAATATGCATCAGACTACGTAACACCACTGCTGCACATGGCTTCATTTAAGAGATGCAAAATGGGAAAGGAGGTCTATTTGCAGAGAATTTGGAGGTGGGAGAGGTCTCTACACCCCGACCCGGCCACGTGCGGCGACAGCTCGGTGACATACACGGGGCTTCTTTTTGGAATGAGTTGATTTTGTCCCCATATTGACAGAAAGACTGAAGGCAGGGGTCTCAGAGGATCCAGGGACTCTGCTTGCTGTTGAGATATTATTAATTGTGAAGGCAAGGCTTGACATCATTTTTAAAACATTTTTTAAGAAGAAATTCTAGCTGGACTTTTGTTTGATGTCAAGCAGCTTCCCACAACTGGTTTAAAAGTGAATTTGTTTGTTTAGTTGTTTTCCCCTGCTGAGTTACTTTGAAACGCTGGAACTGTCCCTACTGCCGCCATCCTCAGTTTCTTCCACCCACCCAGTGCCTAAATAAGCCCTCTCGGGACAATCACAGAAGTCATCAGCAGCTGCTGCACTCAATCCTCTGCCTGTTCTCCTTTATGTGCTTCTGCTCTCGGCCTGCTGGCTACCCACCCACTACCTCTATAATTTTTCTGTTCTTTTTCTTTTTATATTCATTTTCTCTAAGAGACATAATCAGAACTCAAAGCACAGTGATGAGCATTAATGTAAACACTTGAGTTTCAGCAGTGGAGAGAAACTTAGATTGCTCCAATTTTAGCCACGCGTGCGAGTGTCTGTGATTTTGTGTACATGCACAGCTGTTTTACGGTTGCACTGGTGCCAGGGAGCAGCTTAAGATTAGATTTATTTATATTGTTGCACCAAATACAGTTACTTTAAAGCCATACAAAAATATTTATGAATTACCTACACATATTTTTGTATCACCTTGCTCTTGTATAGTTTTGCTTTTATAAGCCTATATTAAGATTATGCACACAAATTAAATATTCACAACAAGCTGTACACATGCAAGTGGATCTGTATATTGCTATGTAGAAGAAAAAAAACAACCTCGGTTTCTGAGTGATTTTATTAGTGCTGGAAGGCATTTAGCTTCTGGACACAGAGAATCCCTCATCCATTCAGTTGCTGCTTTGCATAGTTTTGGTTTTCTTTTCCAGTTGGT